GGTTAAACCGATTTCTAAAATTTATAATCGTTTTAACACAGTAATTATTATATGTTCTGCAATTAAATGTTAAAAAAATTATAATACTTCCTATCTAATTAACTTTCTACTCGTTTTCCTCATAATTATAGTTTTTTTAAGTAATACTTGTACACTTATTACTACGCACAACCATTTTAATAAAAAAATGTATTACAGATTGAATACTCTCGTCATTTTATCGAGCGTTTGTGGCTCAATAAATGTGATTTTTACTTTCTCAAATATACAAAGATCACACCAAGTACAGTAAATATTAAACCTACAAAAGTAATAATAAAGAAATTAATTAAATGAAACTATTTAAATGTATAAACTAAATGTTCGCATTCGAATCCAAAAGGTTAAGCTCATAACTTTTTAGATTATATTGAACACTTCAAAGTAATTGTTTAATTTCAATATTTTGGGTTCATGCAACAAAAATCTATTACTATTAAAAAAAAACTTAGAATGCTCTAAACAGGTCCTACAATTAAAACAAAAGCATTAAGTCAGGATTATTATGCATTGCTATCAAATTAATAACCCTTCGACAATCAGCTTTAATTTCGGCTGTAAATCATAAATTCTACGTATGCATTGACAGATTATTCTCGTCATATTGCGCTATAGGAAAATACTAGTTGCAGTAACTTTTGTTAGCAAAACGTGTAAGTCTCTATAAGAAATAAAATTGTATTATCACTTTAAATAGTTTTGAATTTATTTTAAAGAAAATAAATTGTTTCCGAATATCAAATTTTGAACGGGATGATTATTGTTTTAGGGTTAATATAAGAATGACACTTGACAATGTAATTAACTAACACTATAATGTATTGTTCACTAAATATTACTAAAATTTGTAGTAGTAGTTAAAATAGAAGTTGTTCCCGCAAAGTATGTGTGATGTACATTTAAACCGGTTGTGTGTTTGTTGCTCTATATTTTGATTCAATATTATATATATTAAAATAAGCGAAGTTTTGTTTGCGTAATGAAGGGGGTAATTTGATCGCCGTTGTTTTTCAAACCTAGCTGAAAAAAATTGTAAGGTATTTTTTTTTTTTTTTTTTTTTTTTTTTTTTTTTTTTTAATATTATTTTATTTATTTACATATATACATTATTTTCATATCTCAGTCAGACAGAGGTGCCTGGTATGAGAGATTATGAAAAACAGTTTTCATATAATATTTACATTTCATTTGACTATAATATCTATTTCATTAATATAATATCTATATATAACTCTTCAGTCTTCTTTTTCTTCAATTTCCATATAGTACTTCTTTATTTTTCTTTTAAAATTATCATTATCATTGGTCATCTTAATATAGTCTGGCAATTCGTTATATATTTTGGTAGCACTCCATATGACATTTTCTCTCAAATTCTTTTTTCTATTGCGTTCAATGTGAAAATTGTTGTGTTGTCTCGTGTAGTGTTCATGTATATCTTGATTTGTGTCTATTGTTGCACTTGTTTTAATTCGGTTAAATTTCATTTTGTGTATTAGTTTGCATTTCTCTATTTTAATTATGTTATTTAGTGAATGATTATTTGTTTCTCTCTGCAAGTATTTGGTGGGTGTTAGATGTGGTAAATTATATGCTATTTTTATGGCTTTATTCATTATTCTCTGTATGTCATTTAGGTTTGCTTTAGTTGTTTGGCTCCATGTTGTTATGCCATATAAAATTATAGGTATTATTTGCGTTTTAAGAATTAGTATTTTATTTTTTTTGCCGAAAGAGTGGATCCTTTTCAATGCCCCTGTTAATGTTCCTATCTTTCTTTTTATTTTGTTTATATGGTCTGTCCATGTCAGTTTTTCATTTATTATCAGTCCTAAGTATTTTATGCTTTCCACTTCCTCTATTGCTCTATTATTTACTTCAATTTTTAGTTTAGTGTTCTCAGTATTTTTTCTATGTTTGAAATATATGTATTTTGTTTTATCTATGTTAATTGTTAGTTTATTTTCAGTTAGCCACTCGGTGTATATTTTCATGTCCGTGTTTATAATATCTTCGAGTCTTTTTTTATCCTTATCCGCATATACTATCGCTGTATCGTCTGCATATAATATGTATCTTCCCTTTAATTTTGCGTCTTTAAGGTTATTGGTGTATAATAGATACAATAAAGGTCCTAATACAGAACCTTGTGGAACTCCACAGGTTATGTTACATCCTCCACTTGTGAAATTTCCCACCTTCGTCCTTACCACTCTTTTCATGAGGAAATCTTTGATAATGCTGTAAGACAAACCCTCTACACCCAAATCTATTAGTTTATTGAGTAATATGCCATGATCTACTGTATCAAAAGCTTTTTGTAAATCAATAAACATTGCAACTGTGTGCATATTTTCCTCAAGGTGCTGACTGATGGTATTAGTCAAATCTATTAGGGCACCTTGTGTATTTGATGAAGGGAGGAAACCATATTGATTTTTGTCAATTTTTTGAATGAGAAAATCAAGTAATCTTTTTTTTATTACTTTTTCATATATCTTGGAGAATGTGTTTGTTATTGTTATAGGTCTGTAGTTATTTGGATCTGTTTTGTTTCCTGTTTTGAAAATTGGTTTTATTGTAGCCATTTTAAGACACGATGGAAATACACCACATTCTATGTATCTATTCATTAAAACAGCAAGTAGTGGAGCTATTATATTTATTATTTTTTTAGTGATTCTTGCTGTTATCTTGTCTTCGCCAGGTGCAGCGTTATTTTTCAGATTTTCAACAATTTTTTCTATTTCTTTCTCATCTGTTAATTCAAAAATTTGGATTTTGTTTTTAGGTCTGTGTATTGATGGTTTATAGTTGCAATGATCCATTTTCTTTTGTAGTTTCATACCTATTTCAGCAAAATGTTTGTTGAGATACTCCGCAATGTCTTCCTTTTCTGTAAGAAATATATTTTTATCTTTATGCTGTATTTTTTCAATATTTTCTTTATATTCGTTTTTATTTTTTCCTCCTCCTAATGTTTTATTTATTAGTTCCCATATTTTTCGAGAGTCACTTTCACATTTTTTTGTTTCTTCTGAATAGTATTGTCTTTTTGCTTTGTAGATCATATTTTTTATATCTTTTTTTATATTATTATATTTCATTTTTATAGCATTATGTTTGCTTACTTCATTTATATTGCATTTCTTTAAATTATTGTAGAATTTGTTTCTGTATTTCATTAAGTTAATAATTTCTTCTGTTATCCAGGTATCTTCTCTGGCTCTTATTGTTTCTTTGATTTTATTTTCTTTTGCTGCATCTTGTATAATTTTTATTAAATCCTCTAATTGGTCCACTATTTTAGAGTCTAACTTACAAGTTATTGTCTTTTCTAATCCTTCTAAATCTATGCTATATCTAATTATTTTATGCATTTTTGGTTTGATTCTCGGCGTATTTTGTATAAATACTGTTATCATTTTGTGATCAGATATTTCTGTATCTTCTATTTCTATATTAATCTTCTTTTTATAATTTGATATAACATGGTCAATTATTGATTTAGTGTTTTGAGTCTCCCTTGTGGCGTATTGGCTATCTATATTATTTATTATTTTGTATCCTGATGATTCTATAATATCTTTGTAACAATTTGATATATTATTGTTTGGAATTATATCTAAATTCATATCACCTATTATTATTGTATTTTTACCGTTTTCTTCCATTTTTTTTTCTATTAAATTTATCAGATCTTGTTTATTATTATTCGGAGGGTTGTAAATAACAATAAACTTTATAACAGGGTTCATATTTGTTACTTCTATTTCCAGGAGGTTTATATTATTTTTATTATTATTTTCTATGACAGTACAGTTTAGTTCATTTCTTACAAATATCGCTATTCCTCCTCCTCTTTTCTTTTCTCTGCAGTTGTAAAAACCTCTAAAATTTTTTAAATTAAAGTATCCTTCTTCTTCTTGGTATATCCAAGTTTCTGTTAATATTAAAATTTGGCAATTTTCATTTTTATGCATAATTATTTCTAAGTCATCTATTTTATTTCTTAAGCTTCTTATATTGAAATACTTAATCTCTATTTTCTTGTTATTGCTATTATATTTATTCATTTTCTTGAATTTGTCCATTGTAATTCGTCGACATTCTTACCATTTTGGCTCTGTGTTGATAACATGAACATTCCGTTTCATTTGCATTATGCACCGTATTAAAATTTGATTTGTATTTTACATTGGCATTTGTGCAGTTTATGCATTTCTTAGATTTGCTCTTACAATCTCTTGTGTTATGCTCATCCGCACAGTTTGCACAGAACGTCTTGTTTTTGCATTCTACTGCCCTGTGTCCATATGCCTGACAGTTATAACATCTTTTTATGTTTAAATCTTCTATTATATGAGCTGTCCTCCATCCTAGATTTACATTATTTTCTAACAATTTTTCGTATGTTTTGCCCGATGTTTCGATATATGTAATCCAATTTTCTGTTTTTCGTGATTTCCTTTGGTATATTAGTTTAATTTGATCTGTGTTATTTATATTGTAATTATATTCTATCATTTCATTTATCAATTCTGTGCCGTCCATATATTGCCTTGGAGCATTTGTTATAACAAGTCGCGGATTTCTTTGTTTCTTTATATATATTTCGTATTCGCTTCCAATTTTTTGTATCATATGTTCTGCTAATGTTTTTGTTTCCTCAATTGTTGAGGCCTTAATTATTAACCCCCCGCTACTAATAAATTTGATAATGAAAAAAGTTTATCAAGATTTATTTAAAATTGATTCTAAATGTCATTCCTGGTGTAATGACTGTGTGTTTCTTTTGACAGAAAACCTATGAGCACATTGATAGCAAATATCAAACAAAATTTATCAAGAAAAGAAACAAAAAATAAACAGCAAATTTTTGACTTGTGCTCATTTCAATTAGTAAATCATTAATTTATAAATAATAATTTTGTGTATGATATTCTTCAGACTGTGTAAAATGACTCAAAAGACCCCCGTAACAGTTCTAATTAACTTTTGCTCGGAGAAAAAAATACCGAATCCTATATTGAACTTAATTCAGAACGGGACGGGCACCAGGAACCCAATCTTTAAGTATGAACTACGTCTAAATATAAGCAAAACTGAAATAAGAGTTATTGGTTCTGGAAAATCTAAACACGATGCCAAACAAGATGCGGCAAGGTCGGCGCTTAAAAAACTATCTGATATGAACTTAATTGAGGATAAGGAAACCGTTGAAGGGCAGCCATCCATTACCATTCCTGTAGCGGTAAGAAAGCTCAGTCAATTTTGTGATGATAAAGATTTACCGATGCCCGTGTATAGTTTAGTAGAAGAAACTGGGCCAGCTCATGCTAAACAATACACTATGGAATGCACTGTTTCCACTTTTAGGGAAAGAGCGACTGCTTCCTCAAAACAAGCTGCGAAACATATATCTTCCGAGGCGGTCTTTAATATTTTACAAAAAATTGATTTTGAAGACCATATTAAAAAGCATGTTAAAGTAGAACCTATTAATGCAGCAATGATTCCTAAAATCATGAAGTTGAGGGCAAAACTCTATGCGCCAATCGATTAGCAACCCCGAAGGTAATATTTCCGATGACTAGTTGCGAGATCTGTACGAGAAGATCAATGAATATATAAGGGCGTTTTAAGAATAAATAACAATGTGACTACATATCTCATCTTCGCATTACTTTATATTACTTTGCATAAATTATGCAAATAAAAAATATTGTATTTTTCTTAATTGCGTGTGCAAATGTAACAACTAAAAATGCTTTACATTTAGATAATAATGTAATATTATAGATATAGATGTAGATAAGATGAAATTTAACAAAAAAATTAACAATTAACTAAATATAATTAATAAAAATAACTTAATTTATTTATTTACCAATGGATATAATGATGTAATCTATTACAAACTCACATTGTAAACAACTTAATCTATTAAATTCAGATATTCTAGTTACACGTTACACGCATTTGCCAGGCTAAAAATGACGTTTTTACGATATTTTTGTGGACACTGCTTTTATTTTTTAAGTACAAGTAATAGTAATTCTAAAAAGACATACTTTGAAGAATATAATTCTGTATTACTCGTGTCAAAATATTGATGTGCACCGCCTCTGCAGATGATTTCCCGAACGTCCTCCATAAGAAGGCGTTCGGCGGTGAGCACGATTTCGTCGGTTTAGATTAAATGAAAATAAAAAAAAGATGAATTCTTTTAAAGGATAGACAAATGCAGGTATTGAACGAAGAAATAAACAAAATTTTCATTTTTGACAAAATGGCGATAATTTGAAAAAAAAAAATTCGTTTTTGATAGAAATTTTTGCTGTAAATTGTCAAAGAGAAGTAGTAAATTTTTTCTACGTTTTACGACGTTAAAAAACGTCGGAAAATAATTACGAAAAAGCGGTGTGGATGATCTTTACCAAATCTAATATGCACGATTCGCGTCGAGTCAAACTAATCAACGCTAATCTGTATCTAGTTACAATGGTTTTTAAATTTTTGACATCGGTCTAGGCGTTTTTGTGAAAACTTCGATGAAAGGTCAGAAATGTGCTCACATACACATACAAATACTTTTTCCAATTTTGGTCTCACTCGAGAGTAGATTATTAGAATGTCGAGAAAACAAAATTAGCTAATCGAATGTTCTGATGAATCTTTTTCGGAAAGTTACAAAATAAAATTTGATTTGCGAATTTAATTGCCAGTTCGATTATTGGGTATTTGTACCTACCCCACGCAAAGTGTGTTAACTAATTATATAATTCAATATTTTGAAAGTAGTCACTTCTCTTTATCACCAATGAACTTTTTTATATTAATTTTATCAAATTAGTTATAAATATAATAAGAGAACGTAAGGTTCTTCGAAAAGTTCGTAGAGTGTATTAACGCCGATTCATTTAGAGTGAATCACAAAAACTTATACTATCTTACTAACAATTATCAAAATATTATATGATAAATTAGATAAAAGAAATTTGTGAACACTAAATGGTAAAATTTTCAATAAAATTATGTATACTATCGTTCTATCGCAAATATCTTTTAAAAATGCTACTGAAACCGCGTGATTTCATTCATGGTCCTAAGAGCTTAATTTGTAGATGGATAATTCTGTTACGTAATAAATAATTACAAAGGTTATGTGATTCATGTCACAAATCTATTTACTGGATAGAGCAAACCAAAATCTTTAAAGAAGATTAAGCTTAATGTTCAAATGCTTATATAATTCAAGTTAACTTAATTGCCTTGTGTTTAAATACAATATATTAATTAACTAATGATACAATATGTACGATATTTTTTATACTATTATTAGTTAAAAATTACTTCTACAAAAACATACCGAACTATGTATGTGTGTGTCTACTAGCTGTTGCGGTGTAATTCTTTAACCTAGTGATATTAAAAGGCAACCCATTGGTTGACCAAGCTCTTACCACTAAAACAAACACTAATTTGATATATATTGATAGAAATAATCTACAAGCATTTTCAGTGACGCTTTATCGCCGAAAATTATCTCTGAGTCAAGTTTATTGTTTTTAAATTAATACATCATTGTGCATTCATTTTGCGACATTTCCACAAATTATTATTGTATCATTATTTGTTTGTTGTCCGGTATAGGTTTCACACTTGTTTAAAATAATCATAGAATTTGAAATATAGAACAAAGGGATATCTTATTTATATTTTTTTAACTTCAATCACGGCCATTTTTTAAACTGATTTGAAGAAAACTCGATATGTTTTACATGATGATAGTAATTGAATGCTAGGTCTTTTGTTACTCAATTTAGCAGGCAAGAGTTCTTGCAATGTAAATGATAGTTAATATAAATATTGTCAGAAACTTAACTCAACTTTATGAATTAAATTACATTATTTATAGTATTATTAGCCGGATTGAAGTTAGTGTGAGTCATTCGCGTGTGTTAAATATGTCAATTAGCTTGTTCGAAAATTTGAAGTGTGCCAGTATAGATATTCATGCAAATAAATATTTTAAATTTTTCGTAGTGTTATAGTAATCGCAAAAAAATTGAAAATGAAAATTTTTATATTTCTTTGCGTTTCAAAGATTTCTGGACATTTTGGCAAACCTTAGAAGAAAAATTATGTATGTGTATGTGTGTGTGTGTGTGTGTGTTCGGATACAATTTTTTGTTGACGATTTTGTGAGCACGGATCAACCGATATGAATAATCAAAAAAACATTTGATGCGTATTGACGGGGAGACGTGCTGATTAGCTTTTGGAGAAGGCAGGTCCAGCCATTTTGAATATGTGCCAAAAAGTTTTTGAGATAACAGAGCGTCCGATTATTGCACATCAAATTATCTAATATTCTATAGAGATTTTAATAATTCCGTGCTTTGTGAAATTGTAAGACCTCGGCGCGGCGTTTTCGCGCTTCGACGTTTTGTCTCGAAAACAGCTACGCAGCGCGATTGCTTCAAAAAATATTCAAAATTTTCAAATAATTTCTATATTAAACTTAATAAATCAAATTTTTCAAAAATTTCCAAATTTTCAAAAATCTCATTTTTCCAGTTTTCAAAAATTTTTAAGGATTTTTCAAAAATTTCAATATATTTGTGGCACGATGCCATGCACCACTGGTCAAATTTAATATATATTCCAATTTTTAATTTTTCTAACAGTAATAATAAATTACTTTATGTACATTAATTTGTTGAAATAAAGTAAGCTGGTAAGGATATTTAGTTTATAAATATTTAATTTATATATTTCTTTTAAAATATCGGATCTTTAAAATATATATTTTTGGATTTCAGAATCAATTGTTGTATTTTATTCAAATTTGCTACATGAGTATTTCTTGAACCTTTCCAGGCATCATATCCATATAAAATGAATTGTCATATCGTAATTAATACTATTTTGAATACTTTGTTTATAAAATCCATATATTGCAGAATGAAAAGATTATGAAGAATATTTTTACGCCTTTTAGACTTAACTAACGCATAAATCCAAGTCAATTTATATCTTTAATATTTTTTAATTTAGGGGAGAATGAAACTGTGCACTTTTCTAAGCATTCAACAATTCATTTGCAGACATTTACTTAATGTCTATTAGACAGGTGTAAATTATATCCACAAAAAAATGAATATTTTCCCTAAAAAAATAATATAAGTCGTAAAATTTCACCAGCACTCAAGCAACATGGTAACAACATATGATCTTGTGCTAGCATCGCATGTTTCGAGCACGTGCTCAGATTTCTGGCATAGATAATGTCTTCTTCAAATCACATATTAATTGTCTTGATCAATGACTTTAATACAAGTGCACATTTTAATTAATGGTTAATTTCCTTGTTCGGCTAGATGATCAACGCACGATCGCTTCGATCATTCTAGAAGAAAACTAAATGCTGATTTCATATAGTAAATTTAAAAAAATATCTTATGTTTATAGCCAAGAAAAAACTGAAAATAATATACATAATTATTTAGAAGTAATACAGTTTTGTATATTATTATTTGTGCGGCAATTTTACAGTCGGTAAACAGCCAACGTCGAATTTCAAAAGTTCAAAGAATTGCGTTATAATGTCTTTATTTACGCTGCTTGATTTTAAGTATACGAAATTTCTTCTGTATGTGATAAAATATTGAAATTGAAAAAAAAATTAAACAATTATTGCAACTTATGTATAAAAAAATAATCCGGAAACTTTCAAAGCATCAAAGTAAAATACTGATATATTTTTAATTTTTTTTTTTAATTTTGAAATTTCTTGAAAGTTTTTGTTAAGTATTCATGTCAAAAATTACATCCAAACTATCGAAATGAACTGAGTTTCGGAGGCCAAATCACATTTTTTAACTTGAAACTGCAGGACCTGCTTTTGCAAAGTTTTTGTCAATTCTTTATTACGTCAATATCAGATTCATTCAATTATTCATATCAGATGCTTCGTTCACACAAAAACTTAATATCGATTTTCGGCACTCTTTGCATCATATTTCCAAGACGGCTGGACCAACCTTTGCCGAAAACTAATCAGCACGTCTTTTTATTCAAATGCTTTTCGAGTAATTCAAATTGGTTGATTTGTTCTCCTGACAACGTGGATGAAAAATTGTATCCACACGAACATACACACACACACGTACACACACATATCTGTTTTTCTAAGGTATGCCAAATTTAATTAATTTTTAGAATAGTCAATAGTTAAAAAATCTTAGCATAGTCAATAGTCAAGTTTCATCAAAATTGTCGAAAAATCAATAATTAACTACATGGAAACGTCTCGCCCGATCTCTACCAAATATTAATCAACGCGATTATCAACTGATAATCTCGAATTTTTGTCTAGTGGTTTAATTTTTAAAATCGTTTCAGCTTTTATTTAAAACATTTGAAATCTGTGCAATCTTTTGAGTCGGTAAAGGGTCACATACACTATCATATACTTTTTACCATTTTGATATCAAATGATTCAGAATGACTTGTAACGACATGCACATAAAGTTTCCCTTTGGGAACCTCAGTTCTAAA